GAATACTCGTTTGTGATTTTTTTGAACATATTATTTACGGATAAACCAACATCCCATTTAAGAAGTCCACTTTTCCTAAACACTTATGTCTAGCTTTCTGAATGTGTGGGCTCCTTATTCAAAAGCTTACATGTTTTAGTCTTCCAAACCTTCCAAAATGTTTCCTGTCACAATAACATTTATTAAAAGTAGTCAGCTCTGAGCACTACTTGATGCTTCGTTATCTAATTCTCAATAATATTATTTGGCTAACCTTTTATTTAAAATAAGAATGGAAGGAATACTTAAATTGGCCTCATGTTTGAGTTGTAACAGCTTGATTGGGCGAAGAAAACATCTTCATGTGACGCTGGGGAATTCATGCCAAGTCGTGGTCTATATTTTGATAGACGTTAATAAGGCTGAAACCTTTCATTCTCAAAAAGATTCCCCAAAATACTTAACCTTGTAAGATGTATTTTAGTGAATATTTCCGTAAACATGGGTTTCTTGCTCTGGCAATGTATGTCACATTACAGATAAGAGCTAAAAAATGTGATCATTTGGCTTGGCCTATTTTTGAAAATTTGTAGAGGTGAAAGAGAAACCTGATTGAACGTACCCAGATATGCATCCTTTGCCATAGTAGTCATGCTAATTTCCAGCATTAGATTAAATGTCTCGGAATGAACTAAGTCAAAGAACAGATACGGAGGACACAGAGCATCATATTTACTATCCGCTGCTTCGTATAATGTCATAAGCGTAACTAACGCAAACTTTAAGCCATCCATAGCAGGAAAATTCGGACAAGGGTCGTCCGACTAAGTCGCTCTGACAACACGACAAAGTTGCGAAAGCAAGGTCAGAGCATTTATTAGTTATTTCATTATGCTTTCTTCCATTGATGTTTCATGCCAATAAGACCTTTTTACAATGAATTTAGTAATTCTTGATTGATTAAATTAAAAAGATTAATAGTTCAATAGAGATTGTTTGACCTTTTTTGCAACATGGTTATATTGGTAGAAAGACTTATTGGAACGCGCCTAGTCCGAGGTCCATTGTTTGCATGATCATTTCCAAAGTTGAACCGTAGACGCGGTACATTCCCAGACGTTTAGTCGGCATCATAAGTATCGTCATTCTTAGCACCATACAACAACTCGTCAAAAGGACTCACTGATGATGCCGGCGAAACGTCTGGGAATGTACCACGCTTTTGTTTCCAAAAACGCGAGGCAAGCCTCTTTCATGTCGCGCTTATAGTGAGTGCCGATGAAATAGCCTTGCGGTTACCATAGCAAAGGAATGGGCTATTATATTAACAATTAGGCTATGATGCTACAACTATATTAACTATGGTGAATTGTATGTTTACTTAATATCAACTGATAATGACGAAGTCTTCTAGTTATGCAATATAGCAAGGTCAAATACTGTTTTGTTAGGCAATATTGTCGCAATTCCAATTGATTGTAGCACTTCTGCGGAAAAAATTGTCTTAATCCCCGAGCCTAAGCTACATCTTCTGTGCACAAATAACAATCCGTTCGACTTATTTAGCTTCTGCCAATAATCTACAGGTAATAGATTTAGGTTGTCAGTTGATAGCCTCATCAATAAAGAGTAGGCCACATAAATTTTTAAAAGACCTCAAATATATAAGTGGTATCAAAAGCTCTTCAAAAGATAATATTCAAGTAAACTAGAGGAACATGGAGGTCCAGCCGATAGCTTGCTTGGAAATCAGTACTTCGTAATTGTCTGAGTGTATCAGTCCCAATATAAATCACTCATCAAATAAAGTATATCACTCTCACGACCTTACAAAATCTGAGGAACCAATTTTCTATAAGGTACTTCTGTTCCGCCATTACCATGACGTACTCGTGTATATTTTGGCACAATTTCTGCTTTGTAGGAAACACATTTCAGGAACCATGAGCTACTCGACATAGTCAGGTAGATGACTCCTACCTGTGTCTACTGTCGCTGAGGCTAATTCAACAAAGGCAAGTGAAGTGTCTGCTAAACAATTGTGATATCTCTCCTGCCCTTGACTGTCTCATACCCTCATGTCCTCCATTCGCTATCACTATTTCTTATTTGAACATGGAGTGATGTGCCCTTTTTAGCGGATCTGATGAGAGCTCTTAAAGCCCCACGTTGGCTTTCCCACCCCCTTCAACCCACAATCCTGTTCCCATTAGTCTTATCAGTCTCCTTGCCTCGTAGGTTCTGTCTCCTACTTTCCTGGTTCAGATACTTCGATCGACCCTTGCCATTCAATCTTTACTACTCGAAGCGCTCTTTATCACACTGCTTCAGGCCTTTGATGGCGCTCATACTCAGCAAGGCAAGAAGTTAATTGCCCATCTAAACCTAGAGTAGCCCAGATTATCTAGACAATAACAACTGATAGCACATGGGAGGAAAAAATATAAGGATGGGTATTTTAAGCAGAACGCACTGATTTCCCAAATTTACTTAATACGGACGAGAAACAAGCAAAATGCCATATATTTACCTGGAAAAAATTTACATCAGAATATAAGGCGAAGGGAAAGAAATGTCAAGATCCCCAGAAATCAGTTGAGTCCGCCATGAGAGCAAATGTACAGCGGAGCACATTCAACGGGGACATTAAAAAAATACATACAATACTGTAAATGCATACGGGAAAATTAAACAATAGTCAGGTAAAATAAATGAAGTTCAAATGTAGAGGAGCAATCGATAAAAAGTAACGAATTAAACAAACTTGAGCAGCTTATGAGGCATAAGCCATGTTGGCTCAAAAATACGGAGCCCAAGTCGCGAAGAGGGATGAGAGACAAGAGAAATAAGGCAAGAATAAATACAGTTTCTAATATATACAGATAAAAGACCAGACCTAACACATTCAGGCTACCATTTGTGCCATTTGGCCTGTAAGGAAGTTTGTTGAGTAGAAGTTTGTTGAGAGAAATGAAAGAAAAATCTGCGTGGTCCTCCAGTAGATGGGCTGTGCAGCACAGAGGCGACGATGTCTGAAGGATAAAGAACCAAATAAAAATATCAATGGTTAAACAAAATATATATCGCGGATTGGTCAAATAGAAAGGCGTAAAGAAGTCTGTATTATTTAAAAGATATGCTCACATAGGAGGGGAGAAGTAAAAGCGTAAGCTTTTCATCAAATAGGAAGGTTGGCACAAGGTCAAATTTAAAAATGAGAAAATATACAACTTATTCAGATATTATCATTCTTAGCCCGGAGCAAATACACATCTTAGGCTTCGTATGAATATTTTAGACTTGTATAAAGCAACCATTATTAAGCGCAAGAAACAGCAAAAAGTAAACATGGATTTATACTACTTCAATAGACAAATAAAATTAGTTTGGACTGGTAATGTTCAAATAAGCAAATATTTAAAAATTGTAGGCGTTCATAAGCTGGTCTCACCGGGCGTCGAAGGAGCGCGTTGTCTTAGAACTGTGACTGTAGATTCGGTTCACCTTCCCGCGACCCCGATAAATCTTCGCTAAGCTTTTGTCCGTCATGTGGTGGGCACCATCAGAGCAGGACCCCTTGCTCTACAATAATTGAGCGAGTACGAAGAAATGAGAGGCGGCCAGCTACAATCATGTCTATTTATTATAGCCTAATTTTGTCAATTTAATAAGACTATATGATTTTGTTTGATATCCTATGCTTTTCCCGCATACCTGTTTAAAAGCGAAATGGCTGCAAATAAGGCATGAAACAGATGCAGTCATGTAACTTTTAAACAAGCATGCAGGAAAAGCGTAGGATATTTAACAAGTGTGAAATGTATCATTGAGTAGACAAAGATAGGCTATAAAAAGTAGATAGAATTGCAGCAGGCCACCTTTCTTTTCTTAATGCTTGGTAAATTATCTTAGAGCAAGGAGTCCTGTTCTTATGATGTCCTCCACATTACGGACGAAAACTCAGAGAAGATTTATCGGGGACGCGGGAAACTTAACCGATAACTTATTCGCACACATCTAAAGTCACAGCTCCGAGGCGACACCCCCCTCGGCTTCCGGTGAAACAAACTGACGAATCGCTTCAGCTCGCCTCTTCAAACGAAATGAAAGGTACTCAAACAATTATAGTAAGGGATTCTTCAAAAATCAGTCTTGCTACAGATAAATTAGAAGTTAACAAAAGATTGAATACATAATCATATTTTACGTAAGCTTTTTTAAAATGGAACGGTAGGATCAGAACCCAAAATGATGATTTAGAGTCAATTCAAAGAAGGGTTGATATAAATATTGCAAAAACCTACATTATTTTGAACGTAGATAACGAAGACCGAGAAATTGTGGCCTCTATTTTGGTCGCAGTCTCCTTTCGATGTATAATAATTGTTTGGCCTTGTTTTCGTAACTTTGTCATTTTGGCAGGAAGAACTAGAAGAGCGCACCTTGTTTGGAGTCCATAGTATGCATGATAATATCCAGAGTCAGATGTACCAAGTTAATGGTCCAACTCTGGAGAGTATTATGCATACCATGGACTCCGAACAAAGTGCGCTCCTCTAGGTCATCCTGCTAATATGACCAAGTTGCGAAGACAAGTTCAAATAACAACTACAATATTTCGGCAAATTAGTAATCATTTTTAATATATGTCCTTTTTAGCGATAGGCCTATTTAATTTAACTTTCAATCCGAAATAACGTTAGACAATTAAACGAACCTTAAATAACTGTTTAACATCATTTAGTGACCACATTAGAGAACCAACTTCCAGAAGAGGTTTGGC